GACCTTTTTACATTTAACATTTGGAAAATAAAGATTGTAATTATATCGCTAAGTCTGCCTACTTCATTGTGTTAGCACAACATTTAGGAATAGTTATGGTAAATGGTCTGTATTTGATAAATGAAGTTAAATGAAGCTTGTGCTTAGCAGAGGGATTGAAGGTATCTGAAAAGTTTTTATTCCCCTTTAAATGCGCCCAATCTTCAATCTAATTGCAGGTAGAAGCACAACAAATACTAACATTCCAGAAGAAGTTTTACTAGCATAAGATAGTGTTCGTGCATATGTAAAAATACCTCTAGATGTTCTGCCATCTAATTAATCAATTAATTATGTGCATATTTAATACATAATACATTAACATGTTTTTTATATGTTTGAGTGACCATTAATATCATTTATTAACACTGGTCTTTCCTGGACGGGGAACGCAATTTTCTAGGAGTCACCCATTGTGGGTTCCACCGTGCCGTTCCAGCCGCATTAACGTCCAAATCACTTTTTTGCAGCAAACGGACTGATACTGTACCAAAAAGGACATTTAAGAATAAAATTAAGTGTTTTCAAGTCTACCGGTTTATCTACTAGCAGGCCAAAGTTGTACGTTTAGTCTTTATTTAATAAGTTATCTTACTTGAAATGAGTAAGCTAATAATTTGTACATCATTTCTGTTTTTATTGTGTTCTTGTGGTGCTAAGGGGAAAGAAGATGCAAGACCACATTAAACATCAGTAAAAGGAACACTCGTGTCTCTTGTGTTTGTGAACAAGTCGGCATACTGAGAATAAAGTCAGACTTCTCTTTCTTTTCAGTAGCCCTAATCTTCTAATGTAAACTCCTGCATTTATTATGTCCATTTCCCATTTAAGCCTTCAATAACTGATTTAGTTTAGCATTATTTTCCTCATACACTGTTTTTGTGCAGTAATATTTTATATTATTTGTTTTGGTAGGCTACTAACACAGGTCTGTGTTTTAATTAAGACTGTAATGACATTCCTCTAAATTTAGACGTCGTCGTCGTCTTCCTCCGCTTATCCGGGTCCGGATCGCGGGGGCAGCATCCTAACTAGGGAGCTCCAGACCGTCCTCTCCCCAGCCACCTCCACCAGCTCCTCTGGCAGGACCCAAAGGCGTTCCCGCACCAGATTGGAGATGTAACCTCTCCAACGTGTCCTGGGTCGACCTGGGGGCCTCCTGCTGGCAGGACATGCCAGAAACACCTCCCCAGGGAGGCGTCCAGGAGGCATCCTGACCAGATGCCCAAACCACTTCAAGTGACTCCTTTCGATCCTAAGGAGCAGCGGTTCTACTCCGAGTCCCTCCCAAATGTCCGAGCTCCTCACCCTATCTCTAAGGCTGAGCCCGGCCACCCTACGGAGGAAACTCATATCAGCCGCTTGTATTCGCGATCTCGTTCTTTCGGTCATTACCCAAAGCTCATGACCATAGGTGAGGATTGGGACGTAGATCGACCGGTAAATCGAGAGCCTGGCTTTCTGGCTCAGCTCCCTCTTCACCACGACAGATCGGCTCAGCGTCCGCATCACTGCAGACGCCAAACCAATCCACCTGTCGATCTCCTGATCCCTCCTACCCTCACTCGTGAACAAGACCCCGAGATACTTAAACTCCTCCACTTGAGGTAGGACTTCTCTCCCGACCCGGAGTTGGCAAGCCACCCTTTTCCGGTAGAGAACCATGGTCTCAGATTTGGAGGTGCTGATCCTCATCCCAGCCGCTTCACACTCGGCCACGAACCTACCCAGCAAGAGCTGAAGGTCAGAGCTGGATGAAGCTAGGAGGACCACATCATCCGCAAAAAGCAGAGACGAGATTCTCCTGCCACCAAACTTGACACACTCCACACCACGGCTGCGCCTAGAAATTCTGTCCATAAAGGTAATGAACAGAACCGGTGACAAAGGGCAGCCCTGGCAGAGTCCAACCCTCACTGGGAACAGGTCTGACTTACTACCGGATATGCGGACCAAACGTACGCTCCTCTGGTAAAGGGACTGAATGGACCTTAACAGAAAGCCACCCACCCCATACTCCTGGAGCGTCCCCCACAGGGTGCCCCTGGGGACACGGTCATAAGCCTTCTCCAAATCCACAAAACACATGTGGATTGGTTGGGCAAACTCCCATGCCCCCTCCATCACCCTTGCAAGGGTATAGAGCTGGTCCACAGTTCCACGGCCAGGACGAAAACCACATTGCTCCTCCTCAATCTGAGATTCAACTATCGATCGGACCCTCCTCTCCAGTACCTTGGAGTAGACCTTTCCAGGGAGGCTGAGGAGTGTGATCCCCCTATAGTTGGAAAACACCCTCAGATCACCCTTCTTAAAGATGGGGACCACCACCCCGGTCTGCCACTCCACAGGAACTGCCCCTCATGACCATGCAATGGGGCTCCACCGCTGTGTAGTTGTTTGACTACCTCAGCAACTTCTGCCCCCGAGATTGGACAGTCCATCCCCAGGTCTCCCGGCTCTGGTTCCTCCTCGGAATGTGCATAGGTGGGATTGAGGAGATCCTCAAAGTATTCCTTCCACTGCCTGACTATAGCCCCAGTTGACGTCAGCAGCTCCCCATCCCCACTGTAAACAATGTGAGTGAGTTGCTATCTTCCTCTCCTGAGGCGCCAGACAGTTTGACAGAACCTCTTTAGAGCTGATCAATAGTCTTTCTCCATGGCCTCACCAAACTCCTCCCACGCCCGAGATTTTGCCTCGGCAACTGCCACTGCTGCACCCTGCTTGGCTATCCGGTACCGGTCTGCTGCCTCCGGAGACCCACAGACCAGCCACGCCCTGTAGGCCTCCTTCTTCAGCCTGACAGCTCCCTGAACCTCTCGTGTCCACCAGTGGGTACGGGGGTTTCCACCACGACTGGCACCGGCAACCTTGCGACCACAGCTAGCAACAGCCGCCTCAACAATCGCAGAGTGGAACAAGGCCCACTCGGAGTCAATGTCCCCCACTGCTCTCGGGATGCGGTCAAAGCTCTGCCGGAGGTGGGAGTTGAAGACCGTCTTTACAGGTGTTCCCAGCAGACCCTCACTATGCCTTCGGGTCTGCCAGGTCTACGCGGCATCTTCCCCTGCCATCTGATCCAACTCACCACCAGTGAGTGATCAGTTGACAGCTCCACTCATCTCTTCACTCGGGTGTCCAAAACATACGGCCACAGGTCAGATGATACAACTACAAAGTCTATCATCGACCTGCGACCTAGGCTGCCCTGGTACCAAGTGTACCGACGGGCATCCTTATGTTCGAACATGGTGTTCGTTATGGCCAAACTGCGGCTTGCCAATAACGAAACACCACTCGAGTTCAGATCAGGTGGGCCGTTCCTCCCAATCACACCCCTCCAGGTCATGCTGTCATTGCCCACGTGAGCATTGAAGTCCCCCAGCAGGACAATGGAATCCCCTGATGGAGCACTATCTAGCACTCATCCCAGGGCCTCCAAAAAGGTTGGGTACTCTGAACTGATATTTGGCCCATAAGCACAAACAACAGTCAGGACCCGTTCCTGGACCCGAAGGTGCAGGGAAGCTACCCTCTCGTCCCCCGGGGTAAACCCCAACACACAGGCAGAGAGTCTTGGGGCTAACAAAAAGCCAACCCCAGCCCTCCGCCTCTCACCCGAAGCAACTCCAGCAACGGAAAGTGTCCAACCCCTCTCAAGGACTTGGGTTCCAGAGCCAATGCTATGTGTCGAGGTGAGTCCGACTATATCTAGCCGGTACCCTCAACCTCTGCCAGGTTGCCTCTGCGAGGTTACGTTCCATGTCCCAAAAACCAGTTTCCTTGTCCGGGGATTGGACCGCCAAGGCTCCCGCCTCGGTCTGCCACCCGATCCACACTGCACCGGACCCTTCATGTTCCTCCTGCGGGTGGTGGGTCCACGGTTGGATGAGCCCATGTATCCAGTTCGGGCTGGGCCCGGCCGGGCCCCATGGGCAAAAGCCTGGCCACCAGGCGCTCGCTCATGGGCCCCAACTCCAGGCCTGGCTCCAGGGTGGGACCCCGGTAACCCTCCGGGCTGGGTACTCCGACTCTTTGATTGTATATCCATGAAAGATCCTCTGAACCGTTTTTTGTCTCACCCTTCACCTAAGACCAATTTGTCAAGGGAGACCCTTCCAGGGGCACAAAGTGCCCCAGACAACATAGCTCCTAGGATCATTAGGGCACTCAAACTCCTCCACCATGCATTGTCTTAATTTGGAAGGTTTTGATCATGTTCTTATTCACACATTACAATTTGTTATTTCAATAAATATTCTGAAATCAAATAAAAAAAGTAAACAACATTTCAGACTGCTAAACATTTTGGACCAGAGACCCTAGAAGAATTTCTGAGTCCCCCGTCTCTCACTTGACTAAATGCATTAAGCATGGCTGAAAAAATACTAACTCAGATCATGTTTTTGATGATGATAAAGGACTGAAATGTATTTTCAAAACCTAGAATTGGAAAACATATGGCTCTATAAGTCTAGAGAATTGTATGTTTTTTTCTCAAGCCAAACAGAAGTCCTTTTAAAAAAATCTCCTATTAACAAAGATTTACAGTTGATTTAATGACAAAAATACATTGCTAAATTCATTCATAGTTATTAAAAATTAGCAGGGGCAAAAAGATAAATACAATGAATTATTACTTTTTATAGTATAAGCATTTCGTGGCTTGAAGGAACTTTCTACTTGGAGATTTTAGCCCCCTTGTTCTGCAATGTTTGGACTCCGTTGGTCATTGATTATCTTAAAATGCAATTAACTAAAATATTAAAACAAACCAAAACAAAACAAATGAATATAATTTGATTATAGTTTTTTATTTAGTCAATTTCATACACAGTAATCCCATTTCTTTATGGAATTTAGGTGAATAAAACACAACTTTATTTTTGTGTATACGTACTCAAATATGTTTACAGCTATGGCTGCAACGAGATCATCAGCGTCCTCTCTCGGCGATAAGAGATATTGCAACCCATACGTGCTGCGGTTGCCATGGCACGGCGTCGCGAGCTACACCGAAGCAGCCTGGATTAAAAGATAAAGGTAACGGAAATTCTTGATAGTCACTGATTTTTTTTTTTTTTTTTTGCGGATTATAACGTTACACATTTAATTAAAACATTCGTCATTATAGTTTTATTCCACAAAAGGGAGGTAGCTCAGAATTATAATTCTTAACGTTAGAAATAAACCAGCTAAAATCAAGCTAGCTTGCTAGTAGTTCTAGCTAATAGGCTAATATTAGCTAACACTCGGAAAACTAAATTTAGAAATGTGCTTGAAATAGGCGCAAATACAGGCACGCTTGTCCTAACCGTAGACCATATACACATATTTGTTATATACATTTAAACTGAACACACTCTAGGTTTGTGCCTTAATCCACAATCTACTTGTTGACTAGTTTTCGATTGTTGTTGTGGGACTCGGACTAGTAGCTGTCTCCGACAACCGCTAACTTTACGGTGTTGTTAATCTTTAGGCTTAGGCTCCGTAGTGTTGGATTTATTCATTTTTTCTTTGCTACATTTATGGTATTTTTCATATGCATACACGTGAAAATAGCCCAATGGAAGTGTGTAATTGCCTTTAGGTTATGTTTAGCTGCTGTCTGGTAATAATATACCCGTCGATTACACATGGACTGCTTCCAGAGTCAGAGCGTGATTTACGTTTGTTTTTACAGATTTTACCTTCTTAGACTGTTATATTGAAAATACAAACATATAATGCGAGATAATAATCTCGATAATGCAGATAAAGTAGCAGAGTAGTTTGAAAATAAATGCAGAGTGTGAGAAAAATCGTTTTCTCCAGATGGGGGTTGTGTTTTAAATGTTTGTTTATTTCTGTCTGATGTTTAAAAGATATTAATAGGTTTGAGTTTTGATGTAAGGTAGGTTTGTTTACATATGCAGCCTGCTTTACTTCGTGTTCATTGATGCTTTTTTCCCAATTTCAGTGTTTTTTTTATCTTGCACCTCAAACAGGTTTGTGTTCTTTAAAAATCATTATTTATTGGAATAGTATCAATATAATTTAGATTATTAGTGAGAAGCAGCTAAATACCTGTTTTATATGTTTACCCCTTTTATTTTGTTTCTTTGTACATTTTACTGTAAGCAGAATGTGTTATTTGGTTCTTTAGTAAACCAGAAGCGGGCATCTATCTTGGTAGAATTGCTAATTGCCTAACAAAATTAATATAGACTCTAATTTTAAAATCGACAAGCATCTTTGAGAAACAGACACACTCTTCCATCTCAGTGATTCTCTGCCAAACATGTCATGTCTCACCATGTCCCTAATGCAGCTCCTCTTCCAGTCACAGCGGCAGAGAAGCACAAGGCAACACTGGTTATGTGGTGATATCAGACTTAATGCAGTCCCATGGGAAGTTCTACCTCACATGCCAGGTTGCTTGGTGACCAAGACACATAATACAGTAAACCTTAGGGAAACCAGTTGTGCTAGCTGCTTAGATCAGTTTAAAAATGGTGGTGTCCATATTTTTCTAGTATAAATGTTTTAATAAAAGCCTACAGGATTATTTTTATTCCTAAATTTCGCCTTGATTAGTTGCTTTCTGCCTCAATTCTGTCTCTCTTTTTCTAAATCCAGCAAACCTGATTGAGGTGACAACATGGATGCTGGAAAAAAAGACGATCCAATCGAAGACAACCGGGATCTGAGTCGTCATTCCCATCGAAGCACAAGGGAAGAGTCTCGAACGTCGTTCGTCAGGAAGCACAAAAGGAATTCTCAGGATAAAGATCACAAAAATGAAGGCGGTGTCAGGAGCAGATCTAAAACACGAACGTGGGGTTCAGATCCAGATCGGGACAGAATGTCAGATGGAGAGGGAAGAAGTGATGGGTCATTTTACTCAGACGATTATGAGAACGTCACACCATCAGAGCGCTCCCTTTCACCATTCCCCCGCTCTCGGACTCCATCCCCCACTTCTAAAAGAGGGCTGCGGGCAAAGCCGATGTCCAGAAACTCTTTCCACAAAACTGGTATTTATACCAAGAAGCTCTTTGCTGTAGTTTTACTTACTGTCCAGGCGATGGCAGTATATGCTCAATAGTTAAACTTAATACTCATTATTGAATTGTTTTGAAGTCACCAAATAAATCAAGTCAAAGTTTTTGACACAGTGTATTGTTTTTTTTTTCTCTTCCTCTTAGCAGGTGGTGCATGGCGCAGGGGTGTGTCTCGACCACAGCGACCTGGGGGCCTGGCCCAACAGCATCACAGGGGGCCCCGATCCCACAGCAAGGATTCAACTCCACCTAAAGATCTGGACTTGGTGACCAAGAAGATGCTCTCCGCCCGCCTCCTGAAGATCAACGAGCTGCGTAACGCTCTCGCTGAGATGCAGCAGCGCACAGATGAACTGCAGAAGGAGAACCGCATCCTCAAACAAGTGGGTCTGACACTGCTTTTCTGTTCCAGTTGGAAAATTTAGAATTTTGATTTTAAAATGTATTTTTGGTCTAAACTGGAAATGTTCTTTTACATTTTACAGCTTCAGGTGCGTCAGGAGAAAGCGCTGCGGCATTACGACGACACAGAGAGTGAGATCTCCCAGCTTCTGTCACGTCACTCCAACGAGATCCACGTGCTGCGTGAGAGACTCCGGCGCACGCAGGAGCGAGAAAGGGCGGCGGAGCGCCGGTCCAAGGACACCCAGGAGCAGCTGCAGAGGAGCCACGTGACCATCACGCGACTAAAGAAGTTGATCGACCAGCGAGAGTTAGGAGCCAGAGACGAACTGAGCCGCAAGCTGGAGGAGGAGAAGACACGAGCCCAAGAGGCGGAGCGCAAAATTAAGGTGAACTCACTTGAAAAGTGGTGATTAAAGGAAATCACTTTCTTTAAAAACATTTGCTAATGTTATTTTGTTTTTGCAGGAACTGGAGCGCAGCATCGAGGTGAGCAACAGCAGCCATCAGAGGCAGCTGGTTTCAGAGAGGAAGAAGACGATCGGCGCTCTGGAGGAGATCAAGAATCTGCAGGAGGAGACGGAACGGCTGACGAGTAAACTCAAGGTGCAACATGCTCGAGCCGCTGCCACAGCTCACACCTCAGCCTGAGATGCTATCATGTTGCATTTTTTTCTTTCATAGGAGAAAGAAAGAGAACTAGATGCCAGGAATATTTACGCCAACCGCATGATGAAGCCCTCGTTACGAAGGGAGGCCGACGGTGGCACGAGGCAGAAAGGTAGAAGCAACAGGAACCCTCACAACTCAGAACAACAAAACTAAATATTCTGTTTGTGTTCCACGCAGGCCCCAGCAGGAACAGCACCAAGGCGGTACAGACCGAAGACAGAGCTTCCAGTCTGGATTTCCCCACGCCCCCCCCTGGCATCAGCGAGGCTCATGAGCTCAGCGAGCAGGCGCCTAATGAGTACCTGTCTCTAAAGGTGATCAGATCTGCATTTCATCACCAACCACTCTCTCATCCTCCTCCTGATGCTCTTTCGGTTGTAAAACTCTCTCCGCAGCACCTCGATAGAGTCAGCCCACAGGTGGAGGTGCAGAAGAGCGTGGATGAAGTCAGGAAAAAGAAGGATGTGGAGAAGGAGCTGGTGAAGCAAAGAGAGCAGAAACAGCGACTGGGTCCGGATCTGAATGTGCTTAACGAGAAGGCCATCAGACCAAGTGATGGTAAAAATAAACTTATGATGGGGGGAAAAGATGAAAACAACAGTCAGGATCTTCTATTTAAATCTGTTTTTTAGGTTTGGAGAAGGAAGAGGAAGTTGGAAGGAAAACAAGTTCCCTTTTTAACCAGACTCAAGAGGAGAACTACTGGAAACGAGGTCATGTCCAGGAGGAGGTGATGAGGTGGAACCAAGAGTCTCTGTCCAATCAGCAAGCAGCACAGGAAGCATGTCAGAAAAAAGAGACGCGAGAAACAGACCGTCTGAACAATGGACCCCTCTCCGAGTCCACGAGGATTCCTGGTGACTTCCATCCTCCTGAGCAGAAGAACCGAAACACTTTGATGGAGTTAGAGGAGAAGGGTGGTGTTCCTGTTGGGATTAGAGACAGAAGGAGACGACCCGGTGTTGACAGCGGCAGTGTGACGGCGGGAATCGGAAGGAGAGTGCTGCAGTCCCAAACCTCCAGTGATGAGCTGGCGTTTGGAGGCTACGCGCCTTCGTTTGGGCATTCCACCTCTCGAGCTTCCTCTGGCTTCCCTGCACCTCCACCCAAAGAGGACGGAGACGCAGGACTGTTTTATTTCAGTGGAGCAGAGAAGGAGAAGAAAGTGGAGAGGGACAAGAAGGCAAGCCTCTTGCAGCAACTCTTTGGTGCACAGGCCATGCTGACAGACGACGACCTTAGAACTTGTAACAGAATGGAGGTCCTTAACAGCCCTCCGGCTCCCAGCGGAGAGCGTTCAAGATGGGATGGACTCCTCAGCTTCAGCTCTGGCTCATCCGTCCCTCCAGCATCCTCCATCAACACCCTGCAGGTAGCAGAAAGCAGACCGGCTGTCCGAGCCATCACATCGTTTGATGATGACATCGAGGAGCTGGCTTTATAAAGGAAAGAGTCAAAACAATATGGCTTCTGCTGGAGGAGGGACCAACGACATGATGCTATTAGTTAAATAAACAGAATTATTGTCATTTTGCACACTGATATGTCTTGTAGAACTTTTTTATGTCTTATTTGTGGTTTAATATTGTAATAAGTTTCTTTTGCCACAGGTCAGTTCTGTGGTTAGTCTGTTTAGAATCCACCAACAGTAAAAGTAGCACACACTTTTTATGTCCCTATAACCGACACTAAACCCTTTTGACAATCAGCACTAAAATGCTACAGATGTGTTTGTTTATACTTTTAAATAATTCCACTTTTATACGTCAACATGGCACACAGCTTCACACTTCAGATGGAAAGTTCATGTTTATATTTGATGCATTTTTTGTGAATTTGTTTATTTATTCTTAGATTATCATAATTTACTAAAAAAACATAAAGAATAAAATAAAAAATGAGAAAATGTGTCTTTCTGATTTCTTTCTGAGTAAATGTGAGGTAATGATGCCTGCTTATCAGACTGTGGCGCACTTGCGATGGTATCCACGCCGCGGGAAGCCCGAATCCGTTTCTGAGGGTGTTTCCAAGCAGCCAGAGCGTGACGCGGTGTTCCCGCCCCTCCTCCGGTATGCACTCCACTCAGAAACGAGTGTCCCTGAGAGCTGGCAGAACGAGGCGCTCTCCGGTTTCTACCGACGCAGCGACGTTCTTACCAGGTAAACAGTTTTGTATTAGACCAAATTATTAATTGTATTTTAAATATTTGAAGTTAAATCTGAGAAAAAAAAAACACGATGTTGGCTTGTTAGCTGTAGAAGTTAGTGCCTCAAAATGTAGAAAAACAGGTTAAACGTTTAAGCTGAAACCGAATAGCCTTTAAGTTTATTTATTTACTTATTTTTACCATTTATAATCCTGATTTCTAGCCTATACACTAACATTTTATCAAATAAATTCTCTCATAATAACACAAATCTCTAACTGAAAGAAAATAAGTTTTTAGTGTTGATTATAAATAAATATCCAATCCAGTTTTTTAATAAAGCACTAATAAAAACAACGTGTACCAAAGTGCTGTACAATAAAAACATGAATAAAATAAATATTTTTATATCAACGTTAACTTTATCATAAATATCTAGACAAATACTTGTTTTTTACAGAGTATTAATTAGCATTTTTCTTATAGTCCTATTTGAGGTGCAAAAATAACACAATATAACTTAATTTTTAGTTCTTTATTTCCTTCTAAAGGAAACACAAAAGTACCTGTTGGTTAAGGTGCAGCTACTAAAACTGTTTCAGGAAGCTTCTGCCTCCTTCAGCTATCTAAGCTCCTCCTGTGACCGTCACTGTTATGAGGATTTGGGGTCATTTTGTAAAGCACTTTGTTTGAAAAGCACTTTATAAATTAAATTTGATTGACTGATTGAATCTGTCACTTTAGACTAAATAAATGAATAGATCATACATTTTTTTGCTAAAATTCTCCATAATCCTCTAAAGTACAAACATCTGAAGGAACAACAACTATTATCTGAGAAGCATCGGCCCACAGGCTGAAAAGGGTATTTGTTCTGTACACATGTTCCAGATATGGGAGCCAAACTTTCTAAGCTGCTTAGTCAGACTGCAGGTTTTGGCATGTCACATAGTCCAACCCTGCAAAATGATTTTAACTGGTGTGGTAAATTCAGTTTGAAAGCAAAATAAAGTACATTTGGCACGTGACATGGGCTGAGTTTCATATTTAATACGTTAAACTGTGACAGTAGAAGCTGAGCAAATGTTTGCACATCTCTTGCTCAGCTATTTGTAATAAAAATCTATCCTTTTATTAGTTAGTGTAAACAGTACAGTCTCTGCAGATTAGATACACACTCACACACACTCACACAGAGGTCTGCTCAACAGGGTCTCAGGGGACACATTGATTCCCATGAAGAGTATGAAGTGGACTTGTTTGTTGGCATTCACAAATCAGCTACTTTTGCCAGCCAGACGTCCATTCTACCATGAACGACAAGTCTCCGAGTCGCTCGTTAGACACAAGAGCAGTGACTTCTCTGCGGGGCTCATTATGGAATAACTGAGCACTAACAAGGACTCAGAGCAGAAGCTCACAGGTTTGTTTGTTTGCGCCGCCTTCAAACAGAAAACTGGTTGTAGTTTGGGGTGTATAGAAAAGCATAAATGAAGCTGAAGAACATTTAGAGTTTTATGGCACGTAGCCTAGCATGGAATTATTTAATGATGGTCAAGGAAAATTCTATTTAGATGGTCAGAGACAAACTTTCAGATGATGGTTTGAGAACTGCTCGAGCTAGCCTAAAGCTACTACCAAAATGTTTGGCATCGTTTATACGGAGATTTCCAACTATCAACCAGTTTATCACAATCCCGCTTCTAACTGATCTTTAGGACCATGGCCTTGCAACATGCGTTTGAAAACTTGCATTAGTGTCACTGATTTTGTATTTATTTTAGGGATGTTTGATATTGACTTTTATTTTTACTGATATCCGATATACCGATTTAGTCTAACTTCCACTGGACACGATAGCGATGCACAACATCCGTGAAACACAGAGAAAGTAGCCACCGTTATCGTGGAGGGGTGCGTTTCCACTGGACACGATGCTCCGAATCAAGCTCTGCATTTGAAATCGGGCCTGACAAGAAGTCAAACAGCTAAAGCAGTGTAAAACATCCACAAACGTTCCAAAACAAAAGTCTTATGCAGATTTCCAGTTGCTTAACTAGTGAAAAACAATGTCATGTCCCGAGAAACCTTTGTTGCAGACAGAAAATAAAACACAGACATGTTTGGACACATGCTGTCATCTTTAACATTGCTTGTTATTGCATGAACTGCTGAAATCACGAGTGATCTTGCAATTTTGTGATTTTGTAACATCGTGAGACGAGCTGCATGGAACAGTCTGGCTGCTGTTTTGTGTCTGATGTGCTCCCGGTGGGAGGGGAGCTTGTGGGTAAGACACGCTCGTTACGTCACGCGCCGCTTACGCATCCAGTGGATACAACAAAACCCAATACCAATATAAACAGGATCTTGTCCTCATGAATGAAGAAAAACTGAGTAATTTTAGGTAACTAACATTACATATTTTGTATCACACATACTTTAATCATCATGTTTAAATATAACTACTTTAATTTAAGTTAGGCCAAACAAACAATAATATCTCTAAACGAAACCTCGGGTCTGTTGTATTTTGTGTTAGAGAAGTGACTGATGAGTTGGATGTTGAATTTGTGCATGATATGTAAAAGTTGTGTTATTCAAACCAATACAATAATTTCTAGTGTAACGTTTTAATGCCGATATCGTCCAGTAATATTGGACATCTCTGATTTATACAGTTTGAATTGTGCTTAAATAATACGAACAATGTAAGGCATGTGCATTATTTTGGAAAGCCCTATTCCCTTCAGATACTTAGCAGAAAAATGCACTTACCTGTTGCAAACGCGTGCTTTATGACTATTATGATTGGATTTGAACTCTTAGAAGAGGATGATGGGAAAAAAGACAGTTAATGCAGATTTTGCAGAAACGTTAGGACGGTGTTCGATATGTTTTGTAGGTCGTCTTTGGTCCTTCAATCTAAAGAACCACAACTCAGCCTCATAACCAAGGACCTTCGTATTAGTCACGACAGTGACATAATGAAATGCACGGTTTGCTTAACACAAGGGCACGGTGTCAAGTAACAACACTGTTCTGCCCACATGCTGGATGTGCCTGCCTTCTAATCAGCTTCCAGGAGGTGTTTTTGCAGAGTATTTTAAAAATGGCTCAAATTGTCTTAATTATTTGGATGTCCTAAGACTGGTTGAGGCAATAATTTCAGTTCACAACAGATGGAAACTTGCCTTAGGACAGGGGTATTCAATTCTAGGCCTGGAGGTCTGGAATCTAGCATGTTTTAGTGGTTTCTCTGCTCCTACACTCTAGATTTGGTTGAATCACCTGTGCAGCAGCTCATCAGGCTCTACAGAAGCCTGTTAATCACCTGCTGATTGAAATCAGGTGCGTCGAAGAAGGGTTCAAACTAAAACGTGCTGGATACCCGCCCTCCAGGCCTCAAATTGGATTGCCCTGCCTTAGAGTATTATTGGTTGTTATGGAAATAGTTTGTTTTCATTAATAGAAAATCTAAGAGGTGTTGTTGAAAAAAGCTTAGCATTCAGTTTTAGGATGAAAGTATTGTTAGCCAACATGCAGTCCTTGAAAGGTTTGGTGCATTATAAATGGTTGTCATTGGTTTTCTCTGCAAGTATCACAACTAAAGAGGAACTCTCTGACAGAAAACAGAAGGTGTGCATGCCTCCCCAAGCTGATGCTCCATTTATTTATGGTATTATTTTACTCTATTTGTATCTTTTGCATTTAACAGATTGATGATGGACGCAACTTCGACTCCACAGATCATGGTGAGCAGGCTCAATAAGCTGCAGGAAGTAGCCTGTGAGGAAAGTGCAGATTTGCCTGCAGATGATCATCTATTGACTCTAAAAGCTTTGACGGAGAAGTTAAGACTGCAGACCAGACGACCGTCTTACCTGGAGTGGAAAGCCCAGCTGGAGGCAGAAAGCTTCAAAGAGTCAGGGACTGGAAAATACCAGTTCCAGGAGGAGGCTAAAGGGGACCCAGTGACACACACTGCAGAGGAGAATGAGGGCAAGCTGCTATCGGGTGTGCTGAAGGGGTTTGAAAGCATCGATGAAGCTCTGTCTTGGCTCAGAAGAGAGCTGGTGAGGCTTCTTTGTTCAATTTTTAAAGAAAATGACCAAAATTTGCACAAACCTTTATGTTAGTTAGCCAGTTTGAGTTTAACAAAGCTAATGCTGTCCAATTAGCAACCAGAAGAATCCTGCATGTTGGACAGTGTGATGGACGGGGAATCGGACAACAGAGTGACACAGGGTTTCTGCAAGTGTAATCATCTTTACTTTGCTCAATTACTCTGCACATTCAGCCGTGGTCCGTGAGCCTGCAGCGAGCACACAAAAAGCCGCTGATGAGCTCTCGCAGTGTGGGAGCACAAAGTTTCTCCACAAAGACCTCACATGGTTGTGATCTTCGTGCAGGTGCATGGACATAGTGAACAAAACGGAGGAGTTTGTTTATGGATGTCCCACCGTGTTTTGGGGGGTCTCTGCCGCACCAGAAGACTTACAAACTAAAGGGCTCTTTGGTTAATGTAGATGACATAAATATGTTTGAATTGAACTTTCTAGCATTAATTCTCTCTTTTGCAGACGGATATGCGTTTGCAGGACCAGCAGCTAGCGAGGCAGCTCATACGACTCCGGAATGACATCAATTTGCTCAAAATCGAGCAGATGTGCCACGAGCATCGCAGCATGCTCAACGACGCCACCTTTGGCCTGGAGGAGAAGGACGAGCTGTCGGACCTGCTGTGTGAGTGCCCTGTCACCCCAGGACTCGGACTCTCGGCACCACTGAGGCTCATCGGTGTCACTAAGATGAATATTAACTCCCGACGATTCTCACTCTGCTAAATAGTGCTTGGGCAAAGAAAAGCGGCAATCTTATTCACTGAATAGCTAATTTTGGACTTGTTTTAATCAAATATTTGCCTAAAGAAATTTTACTTTTACATCCATATTATACCTTTTTTCTATTTCTATTGCACACAGCTGTTGTATACACAGCAACCTTTCTGTCTCAAAGCCACAGCAAGTTTTTAGAGCTTCACGCTGTTGTGATTTAAAAATGATTACTTGCATATTGAAGCAATTTCTAATATATTTCTGTCTACATTTTAGGCCTTATCAGTTTGATGTTACTGTTGACTTAAAGTGATGTGAAGTGTGACTCTTTTGAACTTTTTTTTCTGACCAGATTGTTCATCTGAGTCTGAGCAGGATCAAAGTGAATAAAAAAAACTGCCATAAAAGCGTTACACACCTAACAGGAAGTGCTACCACTAACCGCTAACCATGGGATTCTATGAAAATAAGTCAAATATATTTTGATGGAAACATTCATAAAACATCATGGGGATGAACTACTGTGACATTTTTGAGAATCGTGTTGTTTTGCCTGGCTCAGACTAGCCGTTAGCTTATCAATCTGGTCGAATAAAACTCTGTTTCTCTAAGGAACTCGCTCAGAAAGATCTGAACTGTCCCTGTGGGCCCATTCTCAATACTCGCACTGCGCCCTGCAGTCTTCAGCAAAGTGCACTTGGATAAAGTGTGCCGTAGGGTTCAAGTGCGTGGTGAACACGTGTGCAAATAATTACCGAATTGAGACAGGGAGCATTGCGTCATCGATCGTAACGCATGCTGCGATGCTGGTCACTGTGAAACTTTTCAAAAACCTTTATTATCAACTTTCAGGCAACCAATAAAGCAATTATTTGAACTAAATTTACATTTGTTGCTGCTTTGTCTAAAACATTCAGAGCATTAAATAGTCATCCTAACATGAACTCATTTAATTAGAAAATACAAATTTTCAGATAAGGAACTTGAGCCTTTTCTCCTGCAGCAATGACTTGTGGGTAATTCCCTTGCCCGAGGTCTGCATCGCTGCGGACTTGGCTTGGGTGAAGTGCAGATTAATGGTGCAATGGGGGCGTGGTCAACTTCCGCACTTGAGGATCAGGACACCCTACGCACGCGCACCCCTGGCTGGGAATGTGCAAATGAAGGGTGCAAGTGCGAGTATTGAGATTGGGCCGCAGTTCCAGGAATACTATGTTGTGATTAGTATTTAGAAATCATAAACTGAATATTTAAATATTGCAATATTAACACTGGTTTTAACCATATCTTGTATATGTGCCTCATCACGTAGCCTCGCATAGAGCTGAACAGATCAAATTTTAAATATAACTCATCTGGAAGCTTGTTTACCCAATGAAGTGATGATGTGGCTCCTTGTTTTGACTTTAAGACGTTAAAGATGTGGTTCTAATTTGAAGCAACTCTTTTCTGACCAAGAAATGAGCTTTTAAGCAGATTTGCCTTTGATATTCAAGCACATAAATTCTGAGTAAAAACCAAGTGGATGGTGAAGTTCAGGGTTGGAGATGCACCTCCTTATGGCTCAGATACCACAAACACAGAATTACAGACTTATACTTGTCAGACTCACTGATTTATGAGGAATATTAGTTTTAGTGGAACATATTTCTCCCATATGCCCTGAGAATTAAAATGTTTTAATCTGTTTTTGGTTAAATAATAAGCTTTCAGAAGTAAAACAATAGGTGTCCTCTTCATTTTCTCTAAGTTATTCTAAGACTTTCATGTTGAGCTTTCCTTTATTCTTAAGCTCATGGACGTAATTTGGGGGGGGGGGGGGGGGGACATGTCCCCCCCACTTTTCCAAAGTCAAGTTTTGACCCCTGCACTTTTTACCATCCAAAAACAATATTACGCTATATTGAATTGACACTGGTTGAGCTCTAGGACCAAGCGGAAAACAACCGTCTGTGTTAAGCCTGTTTCCCATTAGAGCATACTGTAAAGATACCCCCCACCCCCACCCCCACCCCCCACCCACCCATCCCCGTGTCCCCCCCACTTCTAAAGTGAAAATTACGTCCATGCTTAAGCTGCTTTCTTTTTGAAATCCTCCCAACGGGAGATCTGCTGTATTTGGAGATTAATGTCAAGCCGGTAACTGTAATCTGCAGAAATAGAGCTGATCTGTGTGCGTGTAAAGTTTTGCGTGAAATAACTTTATCACTTTTCCATGCATGAGCTCCTCTTCTGTGGATGCCTGCTGAAATAACTCAATGGTATTTGAACGGTGGTGGGAGTGCTGTGAACTTCTGAAGAGCAGAAACCGACTCTGGGATTTTCTTCCTGGTTAAATAAAAAAGAATCAGAACCCAAACAAAAAGTTTCAGTCCAGAATAAAATCCCAGTGTGAATAAAAATTCTAATTTTCTGAGTTCAATAAAAGTTTACTCTTTGATTGTTGAGATCTCATCTCTGTCCTTCCATGACCGTGTTATTCATTTCATGCTCAGCGCTTTCTGTTGGACGGGCGTGAAACCAGACACAACGTCGAGGCTACAGCATAACAAAGCAAACACTGAGTACATCTTTTTAAAAGTGGGTCGTGTTATTTAACAAAGAAACCCTCCACTCTGCTTTAGGCCTTATTCAGATTGTAACACACCAGGAGCTGCGATGCAGTCACTCAGCAGATGGTGACACCACAGAGGGGCTCTTCTCACCACAGCCGAGCTGCAAACAGCCGACAGGAACCGCACCGAGGCTGGAGAGAGTCCCAGATGGCCGTTCAGACTCACACCCAGAGGCGGTTTTACCATTAGGCATAGGTAGGCGGCCACCTGGGGCCCCCTTATGTTGGGGGGCCCCCTAGCCCTGACCGCCAGCACCCCTCTGTTAATGCCACAATATTCTTATTACCAACCTGTGGCCGCAGACAGGATTGGACATGCGCACTTCTCATTACCATAATTCCTGAACCATTCAAGATATCATTAAAATTCCAAAAGTGCTGAAAAGATAAAAAATGGGGCTTTCCGTGCATATACAATACATTACGGTAGCCACCGGGATTCCCTGTCTTGAGCGCACCGAATCACAACAAAGATTCAGAGACGTGCTGAGTTTGTCATCCAAAATGCTCCGTTTTATAACTTTTGAATGGCTGATCAGATTCAAATAATTCCAACGGTTCCTAAAAGTACATAAAAGCAGCTTTTCAACGATCTATAGCATGAAGCAATCAGAGTTAGGGAAAATATCGCTACGAGGGGAAATCCTGCTGTACAGCCTGATTGAAACGGAGCGCAGCGCCGCGGTGAAAGCGGATAACGGAACGGGGAAGCTAATTAGCATAAAAAGCCAGCAAGAAATTATGGAAATACCTCAAAGAAAATCAGCACGATCTATTAGGTGTCCCAGAAGGCTTATATCTGAAGTCAGTGACCATGAAGAAGGACAGATCTCCAGTGAACCAGGATATGAACATTTGTTCAGTCTTTATTTTTTATTTTTTTATTTGAACAACCCTCAACTATTTGGTAATTGTAAGATTCAGCATCATTCCAGCATTATTTATCTTTTTACAATAAATAATTATTTTTGCTAAAACAGATGTTTTTGGTATAGCAGTGCACAGTGTGCCAGAGAAGCACCCCATGGCGGTGTGAGGTGTGCAGGACTCTGCCTGCAGCTGGAGAGAAACTGCTTCAAGGTCTACCACATCAATTAAAAACGTCTGAAAGTTTACAAAAATAAATGGTCTTAAAACTGCTACAAGACACCAAGGTTCAAACTTTTTTAAGAATAGATGCATTTCAGTTCAAAGTTTAAATTGTTTGCCCAGTAATTTTGAAGTTCCTGTTCAGTAATAACTGTAAAAAATTCAAATCCGTTTTTTGCTTTTTTCACTTTTAAGCTGATTTTTTAAAGGCTGTAATAGAAATACATTCTAAATAGAAGAAGAAGAAGAAGAAGAAGAAGAAGAAGAAGAAGAAGAAGAAGAAGAAAATATCATTTCTATAGCGCCTGTCAAGATAAAAATCACGAGGCGCTTCACAAAAACAAAAATATAAATATAAAAAAGCATTTAGAAAATGTTTAAAAATATATTTAAAATGAGCAAAAATAGGCAATTGGGATTTAAAAGAAAAAATGTTAAGAAAGAGAGAGAGTGAATAGGAAAGAGGGAAATCAGTGGATCCTGAGGAAGGTGGAATAGGTGGGGAGAGCAGAATAAAGAGAGAGAGGAGAAGAAGGTCATACAAAAGCCAGCCTGAACAAGTGAGTCTTCGGCTGCTTTTTAAAGGAGACCACTGAGTCCACTGAGCTCAGGCTCAGGGGGAGAGAGTTCCAGAGTCTGGGGGCCACAGCAGCAGATGATCTGTCACCTTTGGTCTTTAGCCTGGTGCTGCACATCCAGTAGGCTTTGATCACTGGACCTCAGGGACCTGCTGGGGGTGTAGGGACTAAGAAGATCACCAATGTAAGATGGTGCTTGTCCATGTAAGGCCCTATAGACCAGAACCAGGATCTTGAAATGAACCCTGAAGTTGACTGGCAGCCAGTGAAGCTGGAGGAGAAGTGGCTTCACGTTTCTTTTCGTGAAATGTTATAGTGGTTTGGAAATACAAACCATACACTAAAAGCTGAGGTTGTTCTGAAAAAAGGAGAAGAGTTACACACACTTTGCACTTTTTATTACAATTTTACAGCCATAAGATTAAAAAAAAATACCGGGCGGCCCTGTTATAATTATGGTCATAAGAGGGTTATTAAGACGGCGATGCACAAACAGGAAGTGATTGGTAGTCATTCCACTCCAATCCAGTTGGTGGCAGTAATGCACCAAATTGTTGTTTGCCAAGTGCCATAAGACCACAAATATGAATAAGAAGAGAGGCGGGAGCATTCGTAACAAACTCAAAGCGATAGTCAAAACATTAAGCATGACATGGAGTTATCCTTGTGGCTCCAATAAGAGAAAGAAGCAGCTTGCTTCATAAAAGCTTTTATCTTCACTTCTGAAACTGACATCGTTTTTCGATGTAAACATCAAAAGGAAGCAGAAAGGAAAGACTATGGAAAATGTTTAAAGGGAGGAAAACAGACCAAAATGGACAGGAGCGCTGACAGAAAAAAGAAAGCAGAGCAAATATTGAAAGCACTCAAAGGGAAGGAAATACAGGAAAAAAAGAGGAGGACTAATAAAAAGGGAAAATAACTCGTGTCAGAAGAGGGGAGAGTTTCGCAAATCCAGTTAAAGGTAAGATTGTCGAAAATTTAGTGTAAGGGGCCCCATGTCTGTGTTCGCCTTGGGCCCCCAAATTGCTAAATCCGCCCCTGCTCACACCGAGACGTTAGTGTAGGAGGACGCTGGCACTCTTCAACAGGTGCTGCTAGGATGAAGGTTTAAAGACACACTAAAGGGAGTGCAGTTTTATAACTGATCAATTTGACTAATTATTTGGGGAACTTTAACAGTTATTTATATAATATAAATAAATTGTATTTTTACTGTTTAATTGTGTGGAAATGCACATTTTAGTGGTCACGGGGCACTTGGATACAAACAAGAGCGCAAATAAACACAAGTAACAGCCAGGGCTGGACTGGGACAAAAATTCAGCCCGGGCATTTTGACTGGAGACCGGCCCATCACCTGTTTTTTTTGGAAAAGACATTAAGCCTTACGCTGTTTCTGACACACACCAACGTACACTTTCTTATTGGTAGTATTTATGTATCAATCTAATAAACGTAAACCTACACCATCCTTCCTATCCTGGTATTCTAAAAAGTAGGGTTGGGGGTAACTGATTATTTTTAAAATGATTATTCTGACGATTATTTTATCGAATAGTCGACTATTCTAATGACTATTTAGATAATTAATCTAGCGATTACTTTTCTATTGCACAATTACTAAAAACCAAAAAATTCTCAAATAAATTCCTCCAAAAAATTGATAAGTTGTTACTGTAAGAGAATAAACACTACAGGCCTTCCATTTTGTATAACACTGCTTTTATTGTGTTGCGGTTGTTTATATTCTGGTGACGTGTAGAACTTGGGAGTGCAGGCTGCTGCCTGAGAGGTGGTTGGAGACGGAGTGTCTCCATGCTGCTTTGTTTTGGTCACTTATGTGCGTGAGGCAAGTGGTGTTACGACCCTTCCTGGGGAGTCACGTGTTTCTCCTATTTTAACTGTAAATCCTTCTAGCTGTTATAACAAGAAACAGATATTCGGACGGAATATTTTCATGTTTATTCGAATATGATTGTGGAACACACCCAGCATCATAATAAATGAAGTAATGTTTATGCCAATTTAAGCCTTTATGGGTGACCAGGACTCTGTGATAAATTTTTGGCAAGGGAAATTATCATTTGTTGCCATTTTTGAGGTGTTTATGAATGTGGAAGACACCCAGCATCCTGTGATGGCACTAATAACATCAAGAGATAATAAATAAAGTAATATTTAGGTAAATGTAACCCTTTACACGTGACCAGGACACTGTAATCAATTTTTGGCAAGGGAAATTATTTTCTTTTTTTTTTCTTTTTTTCTGTGCCATTTTTGGGGTGTTTATGATGATACAGTAGGCAGTATGAGTACAGTAACATCAACAGATAAAACATAAAACCCTTATTTGGTCAATTTTAGCCTCCATGAAAATCTTAGCAATTCAATCACTTTTTGGCAAGTAAAATGCCATTTTAGTTGTCTACAATTAAATCATCAATAAAGAATTTAAAGATATTTTGAGGCATTTCTTATAGGTAAACGGGAGGGTGTAGTCTATTTGGCAAGTGACAATCTTAATTTTATGTGCTGAAGTGCTTTTATCTTGTTACTTTTAAATAGAGCAACGTAATGTATAGATAGTAACCTACACAGTGTCATTAAAGCCAAAGCTTGATCATTTTAAATACTTTTTTCCAAGTAAAAATGTGCCCCAAACTAGTTAACTGTGGCTCCATGTCAAGTGGACTAAAGAAAGGAAGGGGAAAAAAATTAAATCGCTGGAGAATTGTTTATTTCCATTTATACAACGTTTACATTCAATACAGGGTGCCATTTTACAATGTTTATTTATTTTTTTAGTATCAAGGCTGTAACATAAAGAAAGCCAGTTCTTATCACAAAGTTTGTGGCACAAACCATCTTTCAATCGCAAATATTGCAAAAAGGATTAATATATCCTCATTGTGAACGTTTAAGACAAATAGCAACACTTAAAACAACTTCCGAACTGGAAAAACTAATGTGGCAAGGTGCAGAAACGAGTGCCGGGCGGGATTCGATCCCCAGACTCCCGAGTGAGAGTCATACGCTCTAACCAGTCAGCCAAAGTGAGCATCTCCTTAACCCAGTAGCCAGGGCACATCATCAATCGGGACATTGTGGATGCTCACACTGCCACATCTTCCTCCCTCTTTCCACAAGCACGTCCTCGTGCTCCCGCGCAGGGTGCCACAAACACTGCCACACTAATATCCGCGATAAACATCTGTTTAAGTACCGGAAGAGGTTATCTTTGCTTTCTGAATGTCCATATTGCTAGATATGCTGAGTTTTAGGGCGAAATCCTGGGGAATTTTCTCTAGAAATGCAATTACCTAACCGTGCGCGATCCCGCGGTGGCTAATCATTTTTTGGCAGCGAGTCAATTTATGGCACAACACCGGCTCGGGTTTCTCCTCCTCCTCCCTCTTTTCTTCTCCAACCTGTCGCTGGGCTGAGGCTCCATCACTTCCTAAATTGATTTTACTTGAACCTTCACTACCAAACAACTGTGAGATTTTAACACATGTGCCAGCATCAGCCTGAAGGGCCAGTTTCTTTTTTAGTCGAATTTTCTCCGCTCCTCCTTTCCGTTTTTTGTTCTCCATTTTGTAAAGCTCGTCTGTCTGTTTACTGAGATTCACAAACAACTGGCGGGTGCATCAGACCTCTGGCTATTGGTCCAGCCCAGAGTGTATTATTACCAATTGGCCAATCCACCAACTTTTACGAGGCGTCGCGTGGGGCGGCGCGGACAAGTTGTCCGCAACAACTAGAGGCCAGGAAAAAAAAAAAAAAAACAGACACCGGCCCATAAAAGATGAAAGGGTCGGCCCAGCGGGCAGTTGCCCGCTATGCCCTATGGTCAGTCCAGCGCTGGTAACAGCGGAAGTGGAAAAGTATAAATGCTTCTCTAGTCGTCACAGATGTAAGGAGAGGGGCTTAGGGTGCAGTACATTTTTCTACCTCTAGGTGGTGGCCTCAGAAAAAAACCTCCAGATTTCTGCTTTAATTTGTGCTTTTTGGTCCACTGTTTTAAACTATAAAAACAGAAGCTGTAATAAATGTTTAAAACGCCACATTCCATAGCTATGTACTAGAGGTGTATGTTGGCAGAGATCTGGTGATGCGAGATTGAAAACCAGATATTTGCAATGTTTAGGACTGAATTTAATTGGAAATTTGAGGCCAGACACTTCCATTACACATTTGATTATCATCATACCTCATCATTATTTTTACCTAACGTCCCGAGAGTCGTGGAAAACCCTCCATCTAAATGCTCAGTTTACTTTATAAAAACAAAAGCTGATGTAAATAATTTAAATGTTTTATTGCTAAAAGTCACTCTTTAAAATGTTTGTGTGAAATTATCCAATATTTAATCCCTGAAGGGTTAAAAAAAATGATGCAATTAAACTTCAGTTTAATTAAACATTAAAGTGTGTCTTACTTAAATGTATTAACCAAAATCTGACAAGTGTTACCTATGGAAGCCCATTCCCGCCACTCTGACTAAAAATATTATTTTTATCTCTTAAGATGTAGCCATCTCAATAATGACTCTATATATCCTATAATTAAGACGTAGGTATCTCAATAATGATGCCGCTACGTCATAATTATGTGAGAAATGATTTCTTTAATCAGAGGCAGGAATGGGCTTCCATACTTATTAAATTGTCCATATTTTGGTAAATGAAGAACTATTGCAAAGCTGTTTGATATTCGGCTATGCTGTGCTGAGACCTGACTGAGATTAAACAGTTAAAACGGTAAATCTGTGTCTGGGTGTGTTGGAAAATGTCATAAATGCAAGTTGTTGATATAGAAAAAGTGCTTTTGGGTTTCTTTGAGCCATGTAAGTGAAACAAACCTGAGCAGTGGTTAGACAGGTGTTCCACTGAAAGATTAAGACAAAAAAGGACAATCCATGACAGACTTATCTCAGATGAACCAAATCTGAACTAATTACAGCTCAAGAAAACTTGAGAAGTGGAGGTTGTTTCTACTTTGACCGTTCACATGAAGTCTTAATCTGACCACAGCAGTAGGTCAAAACTGTGGTTTGGTCCGGCTCCTACAGTTACCACCCCATTTCTTTTGATACTTAGCAGGATAAATAAGTTAAACGACTGTGTGAGGAGGAGTCTGCTGGGAGGCCTTGGAGAATGGAATGTGACTAAGTAGAGCCGTCCTGCCAACTTCCTTTTTGAGATGCGCTGAAACTAATCCCCACGCCATTCAGCAGCATCCAGCTGGATTACGCTCAGCATCAAGTTCCCTTGCAGCTTGGGCGCATCCAAGCAAATGATGAGAAGAAGGTAATTAGATTACAAAACTAGAGGGAGGTTTCACGTAGGAAAGTCAAATTAAACAAGCTTATTTCAACTTTGACAAAAATCAGAGCACAGCAGTCAAGTAAGGGAAAAAGGTGTTTTATGCAACTTCATGATGCACTTCTGCAAAACTAACAGAGTCCGTGTAAATAACTATGTAATAACCACATTTGAGCGATCAGTCTGTTAGTAGTACTGCAGGGTACAGGCACAACCTCACAATGACTCGAATGATGATGTAAAAAATAAACTCAAACTCAAATAAACGTACATCAGCCATCCATGACCTGGATCTGTCTCACACACACACACTCACACACACACTCACGCACACACACACACACGCACGCACGCACGCACGCACGCACGCACGCACGCACACACACACACACACACACACACACACACACACACACACACACACACAAAGGAGTAAACACTGATTAACAGACGATGGTGTAAAAACCGAGCCGAACATCGATAATTATACAAACACTTTGACTGCAACTCCACGTGGAAGTGATGGAGGAGACTGAAGAGCTACAGAAAGGTGTCGTCTCCAGGCTCCTGCACCGAGCCCAGACCGTTGCTACATTACAGATGGCAGAGGCAGATGCTGCCAGTAAACGATTATAAAACCATCTTAAAAATAAGTCGGGATAGAAATCCATCTGAAATGCTAAACGAGCCAGCGATTTCCAACGCTCATCTCCGCTTAAGTGCATTTGTTGTCTCAACAGCAGCGCAGCGAGGTCTGAGTGTACGTGGAGTTTAGGATCGTCCTCTTCACAATCAGAGGACTACGCATGGGAGCCGATCTTGGATCGGTGCCGTATTCGTATCTTCACTTCTACGTGTCAGGGGGTCACAGCCTCCTGGTCCACGCTGCAGCCGAGTGCTTCGATGTCATTGCTGATGTCTGTGATCATGCGGTCCCACTCGTCGCCCTCCGAGTCATCCCGACCCTCGTCGGACGCCGTGGTGTCGCCGCTCCCTTCCGCCGCTCTGTTGCCGTTGGAATCCGACGCCGGGCTGGCCACGCGTTTGCACCGGCCGAAGCTGTCCGTGATGATGCCCCGGCCGTCCTTCACCCCGATCGTCTCGAGGAAGTTTTCAAAGTGCTGGCTGTCCTTCTCGGGTATGAAGGGACGCAGACCTGCAAGGGGAACGGTCGAGTCAGACTCTGTGGCGGTATACTTGGCTTTACTGGGTCAGTAAAACAGAGTTAGTACCCAGTAGGAGGAACTTCCTGCTGTCCCCGTAGAGAACTCTCAGATTGATGCAGAACTCGTGAAAGGATGAACCGTTTCTGTACTCGTGGAGCAGAGCAGCAAACTGCTGGATCTCCTGGGAGGACAGCTTCGTCCGCAACTGGTCAGAAACACACAAACCGCTTCAGATGTAAATAGTCTTCACTTTTTTAAGTGAAAGCACAAAAGAAGGTAAGAGGATGTACTGTTGTCATGTAGTCCTGCAGCAGCTCTGCGGCGGTGGTGCTGAGCTCTCCTTCACTCGCCGTCTTCTCCTGAGGAGACGCAGGGGCGGACGCAGATGGAGAGTTCCCGTCTGCCATCTTGAAAGGACTGAGGACAGATTATCTCTGATCAGCTTGCAGCTCTCGTGATCTCTGTCCATCCGGGCTCAGATATACTTACAAAGGGCAAGCGTCTCCCTCCAGAGTCTCGCTGATGTCTCCTCTGCACGAAGAGTCGTCTTTAAAATGGACCCAAAAAATAACACATTAAAGGTCTTTGCTTTATGGTTTACCTGCATATCTCTGCTACTTACCACTATGCAGAGAAGGGTATCTGGTAGGTGTTGTAGCCCCATCAAAAATAGCTCTGTCTAGGAAGTCTATGGTTGATTCTGTGTAAACGATCTGAAAGACGTGGCTGAGCAGAAGACACAACTCCTCCGCTGCAGCCTGGAGGAGAAAAGATGTCCGCTGTTAATTATGATTACACTCCGACTGCTCACATTCATCATCTACCTTGTTGTCGACAGCCAGGACGAGCAGACAGCAGACCTCCACGAGCACGGCTCCGCCCTCCGACAGCGAGCTCAGAGTCTGGGATTTGTTTAGGTCGGGACACGAGCTGGGACAGGGAGACCCTCCAGACTCCTGGGCTGAAGAACAAAAACATAAAAACACAATAAAAATGTTTATTAAATAAAAAATAAAACTGTGACTTGTGTCAAATCTGATTAGGAATCATTCATTACCCATTTTTATCACCACCAGGTGAAGCGAGTCGTCCCTGATGTACGAGACAGCGGCGATGTCATGAATCGGCACTCTCAAGATGATGTCCTCGCCATCTCGCCAAACTAGCTTGATGTTGTACGCGGAGAGGCTCACCACGGCGTCCTGCTCTGACGTCAGCTGGCCTGCCAGCTGATGAGACTTCTGTTAGATTAAAAAAAGCCTGGAATAAATAAATAAATAAAGCTACTCGCTGCCATTTAGGTATCAGACATGTAGCAGTAACTAGCAGTTTTTCAAAATAAAATACAGTGAGGAATTAATTTAGTTGCTTCTCATGTCAGAGTTTGAAACTAAGATCTTATGCTGCACCAGCGCCACATCTCCGTCTGCCGCTGAAGAAATTTGGGACGCGTCGAGCTCTTCAGTTAACATAGAGCTAGACAGGAAATAACACAAGGCATCAGTGTAAAGCATCAGGTAAATTTCAAAGTAAAAGACGAATGGAGAGTTACGATTCCTTAAGTTTGTAAATGCCACGTCAGGGCTGGACTATATAAAAACCGTCATTTTAATCAATATCAATAATGATTGAAAACTATTACAAATATGGAGCCCTAGCCCCTTGATGCCATTACTTAATGATAACACAAGTTGGCTGCGTTTCTAGACTTGGCTTTAATCGATTCTCTGCTAATTTTGCAAAAGACTGTAGTTTGTTTTTGTCAGCCTTGTAAAAATGAAAATACCGCCCCACTGGTGAACTACTGTCACCTCTGGATGCTGCGACGTCTTGTTTACGTCACATTGCTTTCCGTTAAGGTCTGAAAGGGGTGACGCAGCGTTCCTGGGTCTGGGTCTGTGATTGGTTGGGTGTGAGTAATGACTTACCCGAAGGGCTAAAAAGGAAAATAAAAAACTTTCTATTGATCCATTTTTTTTAAACGCACCACACAATGCGTCCAGCCCTAGATCAGCTGTTTACCGGTGGCCAAACGGCTCATTTGCTTCCTGCATCTTTTGACGAGAGCAGCGATGTGTTCATCCCGGCGGTGGAGAGTCACAACATTATAAATAACATCACGCTTCCTTTTTACAAAGACATCAGCAACAAGAAGAAGGCATGGACCAAAATAGTCATAATACAGGGTATCTGCAGGTTCAAGGGAGCCAAATTTAAGACTTTTTAAGACCTTTTTTAAGGCCACTTGGACCAAATTTAAGCTAGTTTTTAAAATTAAATTTAAGCTATAATTTCCAGCTATTGCCTGGAACCGGTGCTAACCACGTCACGAACGTGGGATGCATGCAGGAACCATGCTGGAAGCAGACTGCAGCACCTGGTATGTCAGCTCTAAATCTTCCAAACAGACTGGAACAGCAACTCTGTAGTTGCAGATAGGATATTGTGGCCACAAGGGGCGGTAGCGGCTGGATGGCCTTTCACTAAAACTGTAGAGTCATTTCAGCACATACTGGCTCAAGAAAACGATTTATAAACATGAAAAAGTTGCATAGTATGGAATTAAACCCTCGTGCGAGTCACGACAAAACTGCACAGCTGCTGTAACGCGGCGCAGGCGCGCCTGATGTTTTCTTGAATCTTAATGATCTCATGCTAGACTGTAAGAACTTGCGTGATCTGTCAGCACTTTAAATACCCTTCTTTCTACCAGACGCGAAAGCAGCGTGTAACAAAATAGAGGCGTTTTATACGTGAGCTCCCTTCCAAACAAGAGCAACGCTGATGCCAAACTGGAGCCAAAGCGTTCCACACAGCTGATCTCGCGAGGTCGCAAAATCACGAGAGAACTGCAACACCACGCGTGGTTTCAGAAGCCCACATAACAAGAAGGAAGGAGAAAGACAAATGCGTGCTTCCAAACAGGGCTTTGGCTTATTTTCTGTTGCGTTTGCATCAACGACAGAAGGTTAACAGGAAATGACGTACTGCACGTGACTTTTATTTTGAAAGTTTCAGGACGTTTTCACACAGATTTTGTGTTTGACTTCCTGTTTGATCCAATCTACAGTGCGGATTTTGACGTGTTCTGAAGGCGTAGCGTGCAAAACGTAGACTTGAAACGTCTTTTTGCTTCTGCCGGTGGAAAGGAGCCCGTCCACTACAGCGACGGCTAACTGCCGTGAAGAACGTTTCGCGCCGCTTTGACGGAAGGGGTTAGACACAATCCTAGATCATACTCACCCTAGCATTGTCAATTAGCTGCAGGACCTCTGTCCTACTTGATGGATTCAAGTATCCTGGTACTGATGTCAGCTGCCCCAAGTACTGACAGGAGAAATAACATGTTAGAGAATGAAGTAGTTCTAAATGTATGATCGGGTCTTGTTCTCTTCTAGCAACGCTCACTTTGACTTCCTTCTCAATGTAGTCATTCAGCAGGATGTCAGGGTCGATGCGGTGGTCGGGCTGAGACAGAGAGAAGGTGTGCAGGGCCCTACGCTCCGCGGTTTTCTCCTGGCTCTTCTTGTCCCTCCCCTTCTCTCCTTTCAGGAAGACTCGCTTGAACGGGGACACGATACCCGGCTGTTAAAACAGATGAGAGACAACAAGGTGGGACAAATAAACTAAATATCATTTGTGTCACAATCACCACGGTAACAACTGCTTTCACAGCAACATCCACTTCTCCTGTCTGGACTCAGATCATCACGTAGACCTACTGAAGTTTAAAAGCAAAACAAAACAAAACAAAAAAAGTCTGCTTCCTGGAGTTGGTCCAACATCAACAACCGTGATCTAAATGTGAATGCTCCACATTTACTGTGTTAGCCATCATTCAGTAGAATACTCTTAAAGATTCTGATATTTTATGCTTCAGTAAAGCCATCTACCTCAAATTCAAAAGCCTACCTCGCTCTCCATGAGTCGCTCACAGCACAGCAACCTCCATGGATGCTTCCACCCTCACTAATCCGTCACCTGTCGCCTCCGCTCATGCACACCGACAGCTGCTAACGGACACCGAGGAGCAGGCCCGAGAAGGGTGTGACCCCAAAACTCAGAAGGAAAGTGTTTCTCGCTTTAAACTTGACCACAAGAACAGGAAAAGAGGCAGCCGCAACTTCCTGTGATGACACGCTCTTTAAGTATTGAGACACGGTTTTTGGCAGCAGATTTCCTCATCTTGTTTTTCAGGATTGGTTTTGTTTTTGTTAACGAGACTGACTAGTTCCACTGTACAATGCTGATTTCTGATGTTTCTGCTATTATTCTCTTCCTGTAACTCAGTCTGTGCACAACACACCTAAAACACAATCACAAAGGGCTGTGCATGTTCTGTAACCACATACAGAAGCTGTGCAAAGCAAATTTAATTAACCCTATGAAGCTTTCCCCCTAAGTATATCGTCAATCTATTGACTTTACACTGGGTGTAATAGTCATTCTCACCAGGATGCCTGAATAACCCAAGAGCAAAAATAATGTGTCAATGAACGGCGGTTGACATTTCAATAGCTGGATAAGAGTTGGTTTTAAGCTGACGGACCTCTGTTTGATGTGCTGACATTTGATCGAGCTTGAACACCATGACACAAACGGTAAAATTACTACATTATTTAGGAACACGCACCAACTGAAGGCAAGTGCATTAACATTTTACAGCTCCTGCAGGTGAAATGTGAGACTAGAGCCTCTACCACTGACCCAAGTGACAAGCCTCAACATCAACCGTCTCATAATTAAGTAAAAAAGTTTTAAAATGTTCTAAAATTACTTAATATTCTGTATGATACATAATTATTATTTAAGTGTGTATTATATTATATGTATTAATATCTATTTAAAAGAATACATAATCATCAACATTAGTACCAAGGTAAAAAGCTACAGTTAAATAAACATTTTCAGACATCTGGTTAATTAATTAACTATTTATATGGATATTACCTGACAAAGCAGATACATTAATTAGTTAATTTAAATCAGATGTTAAAATAAAAGCTGCCTTGTTTTCTAACCAGGGAATGTGAGCTCATATTAAGCAAAGTGTGATCTAATTGTGCCACCTAGCCGCAAAACCAGAACTGCTCTCATTGGAGACCAAAATAAGACGGAATTTTACCAGAAAATACTCATATATATATATATATATATATATATATATATATATATATATATATATATATATATATATATATATATATATATATAATACATATCAATTGCAGGTTTTTATAAAAAATATTTTAGCAATAACTATAAAAACATGATTACTGGACTGATTGCAGAAAGGATCAAACCAACACAGCTGGTTACTGAGCACTGCTGGATAAACATTTCGTTATCACATTTAACCTTATTTATTATGGAATAACAACGCTTTCGTATCAAAAGGACACGTTTCCATGAATACTATCGATCATTATACAGACAAATTAAGACAAAAAATTGCATTTTACAGCTTTTGTTTGTGACATAAACTTCGTAACAACTCAGATGTGCTCATTGATCTTAGTCATTTATATTGAGAAACGTTTCTTGACCGCTGACCAATGCTCACAAAAGTATATCGCTTATACAAATAATAATATATATAAGCAAACAAAGTAAGAAAAGATTCAAAAGTAGATCTGATGCTAGCCAGCACTAACTTAAAACATCTTCTCTGCCTCAGATTTAATTTAATTTGCGTTATCTTACATTACATTTAGTCTTGCGTTCTTAAAGGTTATACCAGCTAGTGAAATATACAATCTGTAAGTTTGTTTCAAATGAAAAATGACTTTCCGGCTAAAACTTTTACTGATGTTTGTGCTACTAAACTAGCTTAACCGCTAGCCTTCTCTGGCAAGCTAGTAGGTTAGCATACAGCCAACTTGCTGAAAAGTAGCTCTCGACCCACCTTTTTCACTTTTTTCACATCTTCCTCCATTTCTACATGAAGATTTTCGTCCTCATATTCAGCTCGGAGATCCAGGTGTGACAAAATGTTCCCACCAACCGAAGCTTTTTAACTAATATGACAACAGTTAACTCGCTAGGCTAACGTAGCTTTAGCATTAGTAAAGCGATGCTGATGGCAAAACGCCATCCTAACCCCTTCTTACTGTTGATTCCTTTGCTAAAGGAAGATATTCGCAAGTTTTAAATGAAAGTGACGTCTCCATGAATTCAGAACAAGGGAGGAAATGTTGTGTTGAAAAGACAAACTCGAAGAAAACAGTAAAAAGTTTTCAATCGTGCCGCCATTTTGGGCGTTAAACTCTGGTGGTCACTGGTCCGGCGTCTCTAGCATCATCACCACCTCCATCATCATCATCATCATCATCATCATCATGCTTTTGCTCAACCAAAACAGGATGCTGCGCTGTACAGTGATTACATACACTGTCAGTGTACTGATAAATAACTCAATATATATTATAGTTTTTGTTAGTTTGCCTTCACCAACTCCAGTCTTCATTATCCTGCATGTTTCTCTGCTCCAACAGTACCTGCATGCATTAAGATAATGTGTTTGTAAGTAAGTAGATGAGATGTGCCTTGTGTTTTATTTTATTACATATATTTATGCATTTTGCAGGTTTAATTACCTGTAGATTGTTTTTTTTTTTGCTCAAATGAGAAAATCCCAAGATGTGAGTGTCACGGTCAGACCTAGTGACGACCAGCCGGATCCAACAACAGCCAAACACAGAGAAAGTTGAGTTTATTTAAGGAGCTGTTAAAGCAGGGGTGTCCAATCCTGGTCCTCGAGGGCTGATATCCATCACGTTTTTGTTTTAACCTGCTTCAACACACCTTATTTCAATCAGCAGGTGATTAACAGGCTTCTGCAGAGCCTGATGAGCTGCTGCACAGGTGATTCAACCAGCTAATCAAGCGTGTTGAAGCAGAAAAACCACAAAACCTGCTGGCTACCGGCCCTCCAGGACCAGGATTGGACGCCCCTGTGTTAAAGCGATTGGGACCAGCTGGAGTCAGTTCCGGGTGGCGTGGCCTGAGAGACAGAAAACAGTCAGCCAGGGAGATGATTCAGATGTCTTAATCTGAAGAGTGACCGACCTTCTGAAAACAGCAGCGGTGTTCAGCGGTGAGGGATGCAGATGAAGGCGAGTACTCAGATTCAGGCTGGAACTGAGGCAATAGACAGGCTCCATGGTCAGATAGACGGAGGTCAATAATAAACAGGCAGGCAGACAGTTTCAAACGCTTGAAGGACTGTGACAGGGCAGCAGACGATCTCGCACTGAACAGCAGGAGCCAGGTGCTTAAATAGTGTTCTGATTAGAACATCGCAAATGTCTTAAAATGGCAGAAATCCACTTCAGTCGATTATTGTATTTTGAAACTGAGGTCATTCTAAAGATATTCAAAGATTAGATAAGAAAATAGATAAAATTAGGCCTAAATGTAATTAATGAACTCCTAGAAATCTGAAATATTTCTCTATTCTAACAGATTAATGTATTTGTCAAAAATGTTCAGTGTTGGGAACGTTACTTTAAAAAGTAATTAGTTATAGTTACTGATTACTTTGTCAAAAAAATAACTCAGATACTAAATGAGTTACAAAATTATAAAAGTAACTAATACCAAGAAAAATAACTACTTAGTTACTTTTTTCATTAAAGCATGCAAGAATTACTACAACAGTGAAATATAAATGACTAATGACTAAAACATAATAAAATGTATGTCCAAATGTTTTTTATAAACCTGAATAATTTTAATAAATAAGCACTTAACAGGAGGAACTACTAACAGGAGACTTACACTTATCTAGACTATCTAGACCCCAATCAGCTAAAATTTAAAATTGCAAATAGAAACACCTGTAAAGGTTCCCGAGCCTTTAAATGGTCTCTCAGTCTAGTTAAATTACATACTTGAATGTAATTTTGCACAGCATTTTAATTTTTCCAGCTTCACACAATTGTCTGTTATTAGTAGCATTTCTGTTGCTGGTAATCTAGTAACAGTTAAATAAATAAATAAAATCCTGTAAAATGACACTAGAAGAGGCACAAGCCTGATGGAGGACTTACATTTACTAACTTGGGTCAGACCCAACCACAGAAGAGCTGAAGCTGGGTGGTAAACACACACAGGTAGTTCTGATAATACCTGAGCTCCATGACGTCTGAGACTGATGCATCAGTGTTACAGCGGGACTAAACACATGATCAGAAACAGGTTACAGCTGGATGATCTAGGAAGGCAGAAGATCAGGACGTCTGAGCGGTGAACAGGTGAGCGGACCTTCGGGACGTCCCGCTGTCACGCTAAGAAGGGCACGGCTGCAGATCCACACCTGCAGCCGTAGACTATTCATCACGTCTTCCTCGTTCTTCGTGGCCGTGATGCTCTTGGATGAAAACATCTGCCTCTTTAGCTCCTGATCAGCTGCTGACAGCTTCAACACACCGCGCTGCTTAACGCACACATTTCCTTATCAGTAACAGAAACCACGTTTTGTTAAAAGAAGACGGTAATTAATTAGTTTGCTCGTTACTGAAAGAAATATTTTTCATTAATGCGGTTATTTTAAACGGCGTTACTCCCATCACTGCTCTGTTGTGTCTACAGCAGGCAGCGACTGAGACAGTGAGGGTCTCCGCCCACCCGGCGTGTTTGTAAGTGCGTTACCGACACCTCTCTCTCCCTGGCTGCAGCTGAAGTGTGGCGGTCAGAAAGCCTCACACTGTTGCTCAACGTTCGACAAGCACATAGTAACGCACAACCTTCCTTCCCCAGTAACGGTAACGACGTTGCAACAGTGGGAAAAGTAATTAATTAGATTATTCTGTTACCTATAAAAGAACGCCGTTAGTAACGCCGTTATACTTGAACGGCGTTACTCCCAACACTGAAAATGTGAGACACAAAACTGAAAACGCTCAAGATAAATCCCACTTTCAAATACTATATTTATTATTCTCTTCTGGGATGAACAGTCTGATATATGAATCTACAGTAAGGCTTAACATCACATTTTCAGCATAATATTCCTTTTTTCATCTAAAACCCAAAACATACAAAAAGAACTTTAGCACCATATGTTATTAATAATAATAAAATTCATATTGTCTCCAAAAAATAGGGTGTAGGTACAACACTGGACATCAGTTTCCCTTATTTTTAAATAACGGGGATTCAGTGAAACAATTTACTTACATTTTATATTTAACAACAACAAAGAAATCTTTCTTCATTTTGTTTCAGTCACAACGTAGGTTTTCATTCATTGTTGTGTTGCAGATTTGTACCAACTTTTGGATTACGCCATTTAATTGTTGCCTCTACGGAGTATCCTGATAGATCTGAGAAACACGCCAACGAGCTAACACAGTCTATAACCGGATCAATAAGGAACAAAACAATTTCTCCTTGAATAACAAAATCAGCAGCAAGTTGTGTGACGTAGTTGTTTTGCTGGAATATCAAATTCATATTTTAAACAAAAATAAAATTACAGCCAATTTTACAAGAACAACAAAAATAGATACACACAGATAAAGGACATATATGACAGGAATTTACAACACAGAAATCATATTCTTATATATATATATATATATATATATATATATATATATATATATATATATATATATATATATATATAATTTAATTTTTTTTACCCTAATTTCCAGAAGCAGAAGTATATTTGTGCTCCTTTGCCTCTGGTAAAAATATTCACTTTATCATCTTCTGGTTTCATTCACTCAGAACCCAAAACAAATCATAGTGCAGACTGATTAAAACATATTTCTATGTGCAGAATAAACACTATACCAGTAGTAGAACACCTGTTATTTTTAATAGTGAAAAGTGGGAAAATAAAAATGGCACCATTTAAGAGTTCTGCTGTAAACTGTGTGGTTTTGAGGTGCTGGCCGTGGAGCGTTCTGAGACTGCAGGGTTTTATTCTGGATGCAGGTCTTTTCTCAGCTCACCAGAAGGCCAAGGCGTGGACGCTGCAGCCCAGAGTGGTAGCACCTTTAGAAATGTGTCATCTCAGCACCAGGTTCGTGACAGAACATGTAGAAGAAACACAGGTAAATAAAACAAATAAATGCACCAGTTTTTTTATCCAAACATATTGTCTGATAGTCGACACATAAACCAGGTCAAACACCACAATGACCTGCTACTACACGTTAAAAGGCAGTAGTCTTGTTTTGTTTGTATTTTGCAGATGAGGCTCACCTTGAAATAAGTTCTAAAAGGCATGCTAGGAAGATGAAGGAGAATAAGCAAACAAAATTGTCCTGATGAATGATTTTAAAGGTCAACTTTACTCATATTATTTATTCATTTGCAGTGATCTCTATAGAAGGTTATAGTAAGTGTCTGTATCAGCTGGAGAAGAAAGTGGCTTCAGACCATAGAGGTGACTACGTAGATGCCCCCTTTTGCACTGGAGAGCATAACAGTGCCATATTGGGTGGGTTTCTAACTCTTCAAACTCAACTGGAGACAATGCATAGTGGGGAACTGTGCTCGTTTTTTGTGCGGCCTACGGTTGCAACAACCAGTGCACCATTGAAAACAGATCACATGAGATTACTATTGACTTTTCTAGCCTATCTGTGTGGGTTTTATTTTTTAATTTATTTAAATTTTTTTATGTTTACATTTTAACCATCATTTCATACCATATGCCTGATTTTGTTCAAAAGCTTTAAAACATTTGTTTTAGTTGGGTAAAGACCGTCCCTAGTAAATGCAATGGGGGCAAATTGGGACCCATCCAAGATGGCAGCCAGCAAGGCAGTGCCAGTCCGCAAGGTGTCTACTTATGTGGTGTCTGTGCTTTAGAAAGCAGGATTTGGAGTCTTATTTCCTGGTATTTGGGCATCTTGCTTCTGATTGGCTAACATCAACATGACTATACCACTGACTGCTTTGGAACATTGATGTTTTATCTCCACAAATAACACGAGCCTAGAGGAGCTTCTGCCGTGTGGTGGAGTTGCTAATGCTAACAGTTAGCTTCTACTATTCAAGATGTTCTCTGTTGTTTCCTGGATGCTAAACCAACAACAACCTTCTCCATTGCGATCCAAGATGGGTGAGTCCATGAATGTTTAGTGACAGTGTGACATAGATCTGTCAGGCTTTTCAAATCCTAGAGTTTCACCATCAGAAGCATGAGATAGGTGTCAAAGTGAAGTTGACCTTTCTATGGCAGCAAAATGCAACAACATAGATTTTTGCACATTTAGCTCTCAACTCCTTCCTCACTGTTTTCAATCTGCAGGTTTTCCAGTTTTGGCTGGAGGATGTACTGTTACACAATAAAGAAAAAGAAAGTGTACTTCTTGGCAGTAAATATCATTCATAGTTGCGAACCAGATGACGATGTAAAGGCATAAATAAAAGTACAAAACAGTCATTGATCAATTTAGAGCGATGCGTGGACTGGCTGAATTAGCCATGATCATTAAAAAGTAAGTTAGAGGAGATGATGTTCAGTGTTGCCTCATTGCACCGTCACTTTGATGTGTAAGCTGACTGATCTGAGAACTTGGTTTGGGGACAGTGTTTGGTTTGTCTTCATCTTGATGAACACGATGGCACATAAAATAAAACTAATAAACAAAAGAAAGAAAAAGGCTGGCATTTTTGTTTGTGGACCTGGTTGTGGACCTTTCTATTCCAAAGAAAAAGTCCCAAACAAACAAAATATGTAAACTATTATTGATCATATCTGACAAATAGTTCATTTTTATAATAATGTCAAATAAAATGGAACATTTTGAGGACATGCCTGGGGATGAGAACTGCATTGAGACACCCCTGAGTCAGCCTGATCAGTGGTCTTAGTTGTTGGTCCTGAGGAACCCCTGTATTGGCTTTTTTTTTCTTAGTTTAACAATATTTAACCATTAATTACTCTTCAGCTAACTAACAAGAAGTACTATGGATACTCTAGCTACTATAGTAAAATAAAAAAATGTGGTTGTATGCATACAGATCTGCTTGCTCCAGTCTAGCTGACCCAACAGTTCTCAGTTACACAGGGCTGAACATCACTCAAGCTGAATGGTGGCAGACCCTGGATAATGAGGCTCTGAAATATGGCAGTGTACCTCATTGCAAGTTCTCATGACAGGAACTCCATTTATTCAGCATCAACCTTATTGTTCAGTGACCAGATAGCACAAGAGCAGGAGCGCACCAAGGCCCAATACCGTGCAGTTGGGAGAAGAGGGTGGAGCAGCAACCAAGGATGGAGCCGAACAATCGGCGAGAGAACAGAACCACATGAAAAGAGCCGAGAACTCTCATCGGGGCATGCCGACTGATAGTCAGTCCCCTTTCTTGTTCTTTTCCATCCTTGGCAAAAATTCTCTTCGATCTTTAACTCAGACTTCTGCGGTCTGCCTTTTTACAGTACGATGTCAGCAGGCACACAAGGCCACAGCTAGGCAGAGAGAAGAAAGACCGGGAAAAATAAACCTCTGTGCTGTAAAGGGCTCTTGGGCATCCCCTTTTGGGTGCATTTATCATACTAAAATCATGCCAAACACTACAACGTAAAAAGAAAAGCACATATACTTACACACTTTATATATTCAGAGGAATCACCGAGTAAATAGATAAAATTGAGTATATTACGCATTCATTTTTCTCATGAATTAGTGAGTAGCCCTCTGTGGGAAAATTTGTCAAGCTCCTTTGATTTAGAAGGCATGGTGTTATGCAGACAAACATACATTATATATCTATACATACAGATATATATTTATATATATATATATATATAGGATTTTCTTAGGGCGATTAGGTTTCTAACTGGCCTTAAAGAGACAATGTGTAGTTGATACCGTTAATCTCTGGAAATATCCATTGAAATGTTAAAAATGAATTAAATGACGCCCAGGTGTTGAAAAATATTGGCGGCTTAGTAAAATATCACCGCAAAGATTGTGAATAAAATACATGGGAGCGGGTCTATGGGTGTTTCTCAATGTCAAGGTGCCTCGCTTACGAGGACACTGTCCTTCCTTGGTCAAAGAAAACTGTTAAATGGAACAGACTTGCATCACGTGACCGCGGCTTCTACGGTGGTCACGTAACGTTATGTGACACGGGAGATAACGTTATACTTTATATGTGTAAGTTTCAATATAAATAAATAACGAGCCTTTTACTTTTTTAATTGTGTATATATTTGTTAAATTAAATATGTAAGTGAGTTACTACCTGCTAGCCACCAAAGCTGCAACTACTAAGCAACTAACCAACCATAGATAACTTCTTTGGATCTAAAAAAACATTTTAGATAAGCTGACTTACTTTTAAACTTGAAATTTGCCCTCGAAGTAGCTGCCGGCTTCTGATCCGCAATCTTTTGAAAATATCGTGCTGTATTCTAGGAAATTTTTGACCAAGACTAGGCTACAAGACACCTCCCGTGCATCCTTGCTCAGCTAGCTAAACGGCTAACAAATGGAGAACAGACACCCTTGGTAAAACATGAACTTTGGAACACGCCTTGGCGGTTCCTGATGACGTATCTCCTAGGCAACTGGGATGGGACCAAGACATCAAAGCGAGGTTCCTTGGCATTGAGACACACTCTTAAGTCTCTGGGAAACGCCACATTTCCTTCTACAGGTGCCCATGAGGACAAAACACATTTACTGATTGAAACAAGCAGTTACAAAGCTTTCGCTATTCATAAACGTGTTGTTTTACACGTTAACCTCTATGCTCGTTGCCAGTGATGCAAGTGAGTTTGATGTGCTTGTTATTTTGCAGGAGGCTGCGTTTCCAGGGACTTTTGACCCTAATGGCCATCCGCTGGTAAGGTCTTACTCGACCACAAAAATACTGCTTGCTTTCAATGATTTAGGTATGTACTTCCCCCTATTGCTAGGGAAAATACACACTGGCACTTTAAGGTGGCACAGTTCTGCACAGACTCATTCAATTGGTTTGTGGGAGTGGATAAATTACAAAAACAGTACTAGAAGACTGGATTTGGCTTTGTCTGAACTGTCCCAACAGCGTGCAAGCGCAGTCATCGTATACACCCAGAAAAGGGTTATCGCCTCTTTGTCACCACATCTGCTAAGGAGTATTACCACTACGTTATGTAAAAAAGCATGTTTTGACAAAATATAGTTATGATTAGAAATGCTGACACAAATTTTCACTGAAATATAACAGTATAGAAATATCATCTCTTTTTTTCCCCCTGAAGGACTCATTTGAAGTCCTTGCACCCAACAAGTGAGTAAAATTAATGAATACTGAACACGTTTTCAAAGCAAATAGGGAGGTTGCAAAGGCGATACTTTCCAGGATTGAAAAGGGAATGGTGGAGGATTCCTTGAAGGCCGTCTTTGTACTTAAAAAATAATTGAGTGTCAACACACATTATTTGAAGCCTACTCTTTTACAAACTCCTTTTGTAGAAATGAAAATAAATTATTTGGAATGTTTTGTTAAGATTTTATTTGGATCAATTAAAAAATATGTGCTTTTAAATGTTTTTGTTTGTTTTAATCATAGATGGGATGTTTTAGGATTAGACTAAATAAGGCATGCAGTTACAGCTTTCTCCGCTGGATGGCAGTCTGTCCTTCATGAATTTAATTGGTGGATGAAACTAATTGAAGGTCATTGTGTGTATTTTGTTTCCCCCAATGCATCAGCTGTTTTGATTTTGGGTTTTGGCCAAAAATAGTACAGCGCAGATGCTTTTCAACCAAAACAACAACAAAACAAACAAAAAAATAAAATAAAATAAAAATTGCTTAGAAAGGGGAAATTCCCTGGATTAAATCTTTTGTTTATTAAAAATTTTAAGTGTGCTGAAGTCATTGCTTCGATTTTGCTGTTCTTAATTCACATGAAATGGATTTAGTAAACATTTTCACATAAATTTGAATGTTTTTTACACAGAACGGCAGTGTGTCGGGATACGCAAAGACCTGCTCCCTCGGAAACTCTCCTCCATCATTCCCATCAGGCTTTGCACAAGTCCCATGTCACAGGGAGATATGATATGCCCTCCACAAGTATCCACAAGTAGAATCACCAACACATATGAAGCATCAACACATTTCATAATAACACATTCATTTGTTATCTACACACTCATACAGAAGCCTTTGTATCAATGTAGAAATTTCTATTGTGTGTGTGTGTGTGTGTGTGTGTGTGTGTGTGTGTGTGTGTGTGTGTGATTTATTTTTTTCAACAAGGCTACATCTTAAGTTTGTTTTAGAGTATCTCAACAGGATTTTGATTGGTAAGACACACATCTTGCGATGGACAGCAGAGAAAACTTGAGAGCCCAAGGCCAAATGAAAACAGACCAAATCTTAGGAGAGGAGCAGAGGGGAGAAATATAAAGGAATAAAATGTGCATCTTTCTCTGTCAAAGTGGATGATGAAACTGTCGGAGGTGGCTTCAGAGAGAGGATTCGTATTGCAGGAGTTCATAGAGAAGTGGACCGTCTCTATACCTGATGCCCACAGCATTAGGGCTAATGTACTGCAGCACATTTATGGTCCTGCGCAGGCGCCGATCCACAAAGTGTGCATCCCAAGCTGGGTAACGTTTTCTGGGCATGTCTATCTTGATGAGGGGCCCTTCAGGCAGGATGGGCCTGCCAGCTGCATCTACAGGCTCTGTAGACCTCACTTGGAAAACCGGAAGGCAGGTGTCTGTTGCTGTCTCATCTGACTCCAGCTGTTCCCCTGCCACACCTCTTGTAGGAGTGGCCTGGGATCCACGAGGCCCTGGGGTAGGAGCCATTGGCTCAGCTTCAGGCGGTAAAGGGAGACCCCACAATAGCTCAGCACAGCAGGAGCTGGCCAACATCCTCAGTCGGGGGCCCATAGGGTGAAGAACCCCATAGTAGAGAACCATGCAGGCTACACCTGAGGCAAAGCACAGGAAGACGCCACAGATGGCAAGAGAGGCATAGGCGTCAGTGGTGGCTGGGTCACGGTACGCATACCAAAGCGAGGTGAGGATGGCATTCTCTAAAAGTACAACTATGTAATAGGTCACCATTCTGCACCGCGTCCGGCCCTCACGTACATTGAACCAACAGAAGACATAAACCACACCCACCACCATGTTGAACAGTACTTCCTCCCATTTGGACATGCAAAAGTCGGTGCCACCATGGATGACCCAGAAAGCCATGGCGCACCAATGGAGCACCACAAAAATGCCAAAGTAGATGTGGAAAACCGAGGCAAAGAGGGCAAAGGAGAGCACCCGTGAAGATATGGTAAAAAGGCGCCAGAACAGATGCACCAGGGCACCTCGATAACTCATGCTCTTCTTATCATCACGTGAATCCCGCAGGAGTTTGTGGTAAGAGGCAAGCACCCAGGCCAGGGACAGGAGGGAGGACATGGCAGAAAGATCTGGAAATATGAACAGAGACATAAAAAAGAATGAAAGTTGGGAAAGATTGTGTAGGTATAGTCACAGAGTGAAAGATTGTTCTCAAAACTGGAGGGAAATACCCGTTTTTTTAAAAAGTATTATGTATACCTCAAAGAACTGATGGTTTTGACTTGACATGTCTGCTGTTCCACTCACGGTAAACACAACATTTTATTTCAGCCAAAGCAATCCATCACAACTTTGAAAGTCCTGTTATTACTGAGATCATCACATATCATCCAGTCAACACAGTCTGCATTTAGTGGACCAATTCTGTTTCCTTAAGACATCTATAATGGTAGAGACAGCAGATGTGTCAGAGGGGAGTAAGCTACTGAGTGAAAAATGACGGAGGGTTCTGCAGAGCAGCAATATGGAGCCTCAGCGAACGTATCGATGGCGTTTCTATAGGCGCGCCAACCACGAAGGGTATCACTTGGTATGATTGAACTGCTTTCCTCTGGGAACTGTATCATACGAGGAAACGGGAGTTGTGAGAGTGGTTTTCAGTAACAGCTGTGACGAATGTTGGAAACTGGATACGTTGCTTGGTGTAAATAAGAAGATTCGTGGACGTCACTGGAAAATGGATTTCCAGGTGCAGATAATGGGATCATCTCAGCATCATGAGGTAACCAAAGCTTGAGTATGACATTTAACGCAAAACAAGACAGAGAGGTATCTGGAATTACACTATAGAGTGTTGTCCGTGTAAGATCGTTGGAGGAAAGCCCCTTACACTGCAGTCGCTCAGCATCGTTGCTCTGGATCATGATGCAGAGCTGCAGCACCAACTGAGGGGCGCTTTCTAAGAAGGTCTCCAGCAGTCGCAGAATGTTGACATCAGCATACTCATACATCATAGCCCAGTAGAAGCGCCGCTGGTTCTCCTTCTGCCTGTGACTTTGTATTCCAAGGTACATGGTGCGGATGTACCTGAAAGAGAGGAGACAATCACACTTTAAACCTTTGCGCTCTTTCATCACTTTGAAGGTCAACTTTACTCATATTTATAAACATTTGTAGTGGTCTCTAGAAGGAATGAATACAGGGGTGGGCAATCCTGGTTCTCCAGGGTCGCCATCCAGCGGGTTTTAGTTGTTCCTCTGCTTAAACACACCTGGTTTTAATCGGCTGGTGATTAACAGACTGCTGCAAAGACTGATGAGCTGCTAAACAGGTGATTCATCCAGGAATCGAGTGTGTTGGAGAAGAAAAGCAACTAATATTTTAACATCTGTTGGTACGGTCTTACTTGAACACAAAAATAATGCTTGCTTGCAATGATTCAGGTATCTACTGCCCCCTATCATCCAGGAAATTACACACTGTCACTTTAAGTAACAGTAGCAGGAAATTCTGAGAATTTAAGAGATTTTAAACAGTACTTTGGACTAGCAGTTAGCTCATCATTCTAATGGAGAGTAAAGCCATTTCTCCCAGATGGAAGCCGTTCAGGAAGCAATCCACACCGAGTAAAACAGCAACTTTTCACAACTTTTATTCATGAAACCATTTTTAAAAAGCTGAAATATTTCTTGAAATACAGCGTCTTGTGTAAAAAGGGCATTGAGGACATGAATCCCTTTAGAAAGATGTGATTTAGATCTTAGCTTATGGATTTGCAAGTAACAGCATGGTTTTAACTTTAGAATTGTTGTTTTCATGACTGTCACCACATCAGCCTCCTTATGTAATGAAACCTCCTGCATTTGATAAGATAAGTCACAGCGGCTTGTTGTGTACTGCTGGAGGTGATCATCACGAATGGTGCTCATTAAGATCATTATCCTCTTTAAAGAGGAAAAAACTTTAGAAAGACATTTTAGACAGAAAAACCACTGTTGTGTAACAATATCAACCCACACAGACAAAATAAAACACAATCCAAACTAAAAGATCATCAAAAGGGGCTAGCTGAAGAGAAAACAGTCAAAAGCAGTTAGAGAGAGTAAAAGTTGTCTGGGCTCTGACTTTAACTCTTGCATGTTAGCTGGTAGCTGCAGGGTCTATCTGCCTGAGCTGGCAGAGTGGCCAAATAAATACAGCACTTGATGTGAAGGCAGTCAGCCGAGGACAATAGAGTGGCAAGGACAGAAATAGACTAGACAGGAGCACTCCCCGTTGTAAACCGAGAAACTGGGATCTAAATTCAGCTAAGTGAGAAACAAATTCCAAGCAGAGTAACAGAAAAATTTTAAAAATAAAATGAGCTTTTGCATTAACCAGGTAAGAGATGTGTGTTTTACGATAGGCGTGGTTGTTCTGGGATGTTGTTTAGACTGAGCTTTGAGCATACATGTTCTCCTAATCTCCACAAAACTCCCAATTAGGATATCACACTATCAGATTAATGCAATAAAAAATAGCTGTTAAATCCTTTTAATTTGTTTACATGTGCTCGGCAGTTAATGGAAAGCAAATAAAATCATCCTGCAATACAGTATAAACACAAATAAATGGGCAAATTTAAGGTTGATGGTGTGAATTTTTTTTAATTTGCAAAAAGGTCATGAAAGTGTGTCTGACAAGTGCAGTGAGGACACATTTGCTGTTTTGTTTGGGAGCATTTATTTCTCCAGCTTTAATGAAGCATTCGTGGCCTTTGAATTCCTTTTTCATATATTCACTTGGAGTGATAAAGAAGCAACTGGTGCAAGGACGTTGACAAGTAATGGGATGGTGGTCTTTCTTAAGACAGAAGAAAAATGGACCAGAAGAAGAAGAAGAAGAGCAAAACCATGTGAAGGGTGGGATTAACAGCTCTGGTCGGGAAGAGGCGCTGTTATATCCAGAAGTTAAAGCTGACATTCCATGACATTTTCAGAAGGACTGGAAAATGTCAGATGGAACAAGACATTCCCTTTTGGCAGACCTACACAGGACCTCCATCTCCACCCCCAATATCTCTATTCCATGGACACATCTCTCTGGTTTGTACGACCTCCATCTGAAACAGGGCTGTTCACAACATCCAAAGCTGTAGGTATTAAAAATCTGCAGATTGCAATTTTTGGGGGGTCCACACATGCTTGTTCCAGGAATAATAATAATAATAATAATAATAATAATAATAATAATAATAATAATACATTTGATTTATAAAGCACTTTACATTTGAAACAAATCTCAAAGTGCCACAAAGTTAATTTAACCCGAAAGCTCTGGTAAATAGATATGTTTTAAGACCAGATTTAAAAGCACCAATAGTCTGTGGTATCCTCGGATGCCCTGGGAGGGAATTCCAAAGTCTGGGTGCAGCTGAGCAAAATCGCGACCTCCCATGGCGCAAAGTTTAGTCTTTGGAGTTTTTAAAAGATGTACTGATGCAGAGCGGAGGTTGCGTGTGAATGTCTGTGAAAACAGACGTTCTTTAAGGTGTGTGTGTGTGTGGGGGGGGGGGGGGCATCCCCATAAATACACTGGTGGGTGAGAAGGGCAACCTTGTTATCAATTCTAGATGAAACAGGGAGCCAGTGAAAAGATTTAAGAATGGGCGGTCATATTTGCGTCCTCTCATCAGGATCCTAGCAGCACAGTTCTGAATATACTGCAGCTTTTGAAGGATTTTTCCAGTAGTCCCAATGAGGGGACAAACGCATGGACCAACTTTTCCGCATCAGCAAACGTTTTGCTCTATTCCTGCGGCGGAAAAAAGACGTTTTACACAGATGCTTGACATGGGCCTCATACGTCAAACTCGAGCCCACTTTAACCCCAAGGTTTATAACAGATGTTGACAGTGGGATATCCTGACAGTTGATGTTAGATGACCTAACCTGGTGTGGGGTGCCTACTAAAATAACTTCAGTCTTAGCTGTTTAGCTGCAGAAAATTTTGCTTCATCCATGACTTTATCGCCTCCAAACAGATGGTCAAAGTGGATGATGGTGGAGTAGACGGGGAGGTGGAATTTATCCTGGGATAAAGCTGAGTATCATCAGCATAACAATGGAATAAAATACTATGCTGGCTGATGATATGGCCCAGGGGAAGCATACTTAATACGAACAAAATCGGACCGAGCACAGAGCCCTGAGGAACATCACAGGTGACATTGTGTATAGCAGATTTAGGAAGTACAAATCAGCTGGAGGAAAAAGGAGCTTCAGACAACAGGATTTGGAGTCTCATTTCCTGTTATTTGGACATCTCACCTCGGACCACCACTGACTCTGTTTGCTTTGCAGCGCGGATGATTTATCTTCACAAATAACACAAGCCTGGAGGAGTTCTGCTATGTTGTGTAGTTGCTAATGCTAATGGTTAGCTTCCAGTAGCCAAGGCAATCGCTGCTGTTTCCTGGACACAAGTCACGATGGCCCATGAATGTTAAGTGACAGTGTGACATAGATCTATGTTTCACAGTCTGTTTTCTACCAGAAGCTAATGCCAGAGATAGGTGTAGGAGACTGTTCATATGTTCAGCCTGCATGAAAAACTCTGAGTGACTGATTATAATCAGAAATACGATTTTAAAAATGGTTTTTCAGTGAACACCTTTAAGTGCTCGACCCATAATTGGAGGGTTGCAGGTTTAAGCCCTACTCAGTCTGTCACAGTTGTTGTGTCCTTGACCAAGACACTCAACCCTACTTGCCTTTTGACGGTTGTCAGAGGGATCGGTGACGGCAGTCTACGGTAGCTATGTCTGAATTTACCAGGTGTTCCTTCTTTATAAGTTAATTCATGCCACAAAATAAACAAATGTTTTTAATTCAATAATTACAAATGAACTCATCTGTTCAGCTGCTGCTACGTTTTAAAATGTCTTCATTTATACTTTACGTTTCAAAGACAGAGAAGCCTTGTATTGGATTATGCCTGTTTCCCCCTCACAATGCACGCTGTTGACATGTTTTGGCTTCAGAAGAAGAAAGAAAAACCCCCGTAGCGTTAACCAGTCGAGTTTCTGTGCTGTCAGAAAAATCGGAGCTCACTTCATCTCATCTCAACACAGCAGCGCTTTACTTTACAACCATTTCACACATATCCTGGGACTGTGATGCACGCCGTTAACACCCCCACTGTGCTTTTTCAGATGTAGTAACACAAATAGCTTTGGAAAGCACACACACACACACACACACACACACACACACACACACACACACACACACACACACACACACACACACACACACACACACACACACACACACACATACACACGCTGAGCACTTTGACGCATTGCTGTTGGTAATAGGGGATTCCCTTTCTGTTGTGAACACATCTGTCAAATGGATCTGTCTTCCAATCACACACACTCTGTGTACTCTATCCAGGCTTTGTGGTTTGGATGCCCACCACCACCACCACGCCTCCCTTTCAGCTCCATGCAAGCTCCTCATGAATTATTTGTGGTGAGATCATTGCATTCACTCATGGCTCGTTAGACGGCGTATGCATGGCCTAACAAGCCAACGAAGAGCTGGGGTCCTGTTCCAGGCTCGCCCGATTGCTTCTGCAGGCTCTGTCCTCCCACCTTCACCACTGCTGTGAGGCGCAGACGTAGATACGTAGCTGTAACAGCAGACATCTTGACATGGGAGCATGAGCGTCAGTGAGAGACAGGTGGAATGACGAACACACACCATGTGGACAACTTGGCCACATTGTTCCTCCCTCTCATCCCAAGTCAAAGACTGATGAGTCACCCAGCAACTCTTACACTAATCCCTTGAGTAGGTGGTTAGACGAATCATCAACAAACACAAACACCACGTTTGGTTGCATCTGTCTTCTAAATCATGCTTGTGGGAACACTGAGACGCTCGGAGTGTTCTGATTCACAGGAAGATCTAGAGAAATGCGTATGAAACTTATGGTCTGTAACAGGTGGAACCTGGCAGAACACTCAGCAAAAGCAGGGATTTAATGAAGAGCGTTGTTGATTTTATGTGTGTAGGGGAGAGGGAGAGCCAGCTGCTGTGAGT